TTTTCTGTTACATTGCGCAGACCTCATTAGTTTTACACTCAAATCTGGTCATATTAATTTTCTGATTTGCATAATTAGTTTTCAGCTAAGTAATTTCGAATTATATTTAATGTGTCTCCAATACTCTCAGCACATGGGAGTTCTTTCTAAGCTTTCTTTGATTTTTCATTATTTTCGCCTCAAGTTTCTACTTTTCAACTGTCGATGGGTCCCGAAACTATGTCATCAATTATTTTGAGGGCGATGGTCCGAAATTGGTCGTTTTCACGACGAAAACTGCGTGAAATGGGAAAACTGTGACGCCTTGTGACGTCACGATAACTTATTCAAGATGGCGGCAAACGAGGGGATTTCGCTGTAGTTTTCCGCGGTTTTCGTCGTGAAATTTGCTTCACAGCCCGTTTTATACCCGATATTTAGGGCATTTCGCAGCACATACAAGTTGTTTTTATCGACAGAATTCATTCATAGATCTCAGATTTCATGTACAGAGTGTCAAAAGCCACACCTCTGCTCCCCTTTAATGACCATTTGCTGGCAAGTCCATTTGCTGTTAACCTATTCATCACCTGTAATCTCAGTGCTGTCATTCTATGCAGAAACAATGTTTCACTGGCCAGTCTCACTGTTAAATCTAAATAGCTCATTTTACAAAAATCATTCTCTATGTATACTGCCACTATACTGGGTTCATAATAGTACAAAAACTCTACCTTGGATATTCTGCCATTTTACACCCAGCCTAGAACCCAATGTGCTTGTGATGCAAGTTTTGCTGTGAGGGAGTATAGGAAAGAAAGTAAATGCTTGAGTGATTACAAGCCTTTGATGTTACCCACGTCAGTATGCAATGTTTTGAATAACTATGGGGGAAAATAGCGACCAAATTAAAGAATTCCAGTAGTATAGCAACATTTAGAACAATCTTATAAAGGTAAATATTTAAATTTATTAGATCATTGAAAAACGTATGCTAGTTTTATAGCTAACTTCACACTTATTGTGTTGGTTATTTACATTGAATGTCTTATTACAAAAAAATTATTTTGGAATGCTTTGCTAAAATTGTGTACCAGTGGTCTAAGGCCCAACAAAAAATGGTGCGTTTCCGGTAACCCGACCCTACCTAAAAATACGTCCTGATCCTAATTTTGAAAAAAAATCGAAAACATGGTCTCGATGTTAAAATCACTCGTGCCGAGCGTTGTCAATTCATTTGGAACTAAATTCATAAAGTTCACTTGTGTCCCTGAGCCGGACAGCACAATGTGTTTGGGACTTGATAAATGCACAGAACCTGCATCGCCAGAGACGAAAAATCCATTCGATGTACTAATGTATG